GACCACCCGATCGACCTAAGCGTTACCACCCCTTGCCGTCTCATCCCCTTGCAGTATCATCAGGACATCGCCATGGCAACGCCACCGGTGTTCCCTGACTCTCACATGTTGATGTTGTCGGGATACATGAACAGGTTCAACGACCTCATGAGGATACAGGTATGCTTGGTGTTCCGTTTACCAATCATAATAATAAATGATAAATAAACAGCATTTCTATGGCGCATAGCCTCGTTAACCAACAAGCACTAAGCGTTAAGCGCTTTATAATCTAAATTATAACCTCAAGATAATAATTCTCCTCTTCTCGAGAAGCGTACTGTGCAAACAGCACTCAAACTCTCACGAACTGACAAGATCTTTTGCTGTCAACAGCCGGGTACTCATTCCCACCTGGGTGAAGTGAGGACTTTCATGTAAGTGACTTTCCCAACGAAACAATTTAGGGCCTCTGACAGAGTTGGAACCCACGACCTTTTGGTTGCGAGGCCAACAGCCTAAACACTAGACCAGTGACGCCACTTAGCTTATTCTCACCCCATATTGAATATGGTGGCACTATTGTGTGTCTATAAGTGTAAGACATAAGAGCTAATCAAAGACAGAAATAAGAACAAGACCATACCTCTTTATGTGGTTTCTGTCTAATACGGAATGATCATTTTAAAAGAGAACTAAATAAATGTTAGAATGTGGCGCTACAATACTTGATAAGTGTTGTCACACTTTTGTATTCCCTCCTTGGCGAATGAAACTTAAAAGAAGTGTACCCATGAGTTCGATATATCGAGATCACGCATACATCTACCTCTCAGAATTTTATGTGCGTCTTAGAAGGACAAGTCCAAATTGCTATTGGCACACCAGCGTATGTGGTGTAGAGGCTAGCTGCTTCGCCATCACACGCAGAATACCAAAGTTCAGTTCATGTGTGGGGAGAGTTTTTATCGATTATTTCTGTCTTTCTGCTGGGACTTTAGATCCCATTCAACCCAAGCTGGAAAATTATCTAAATAGTGTCGATGGGGGCGTGAAATCTCCCACATCAAATTCATTGATTTTTTCATTCATTCATTCATTCATTCATTCGTTCATTCATTCATTCATTCATTCATTCATTCATTCATTCATTCATTCATTCATTTATTCATTCATTCATTCATCAATTCAATAATCCATTCATCTCTTTATCTATTTGTCTAGTGATTCATGTATTTCCTATTAACTTACCGTGTCTGTTTTCTTCCCGCCCAGCACGGCCCCTCTGCTTTCACCGCTCCTCTGGCCCCGCCCCTCGCTACGTCATTCCACCACGACATTTTACAAGAGGTCATGGCCAGGCTTCTGTTCACGGTGGTCACGTGGGTCAAGCACATCCCAGCATTTATTACGTTGACCCCTGGGGATCAGGTAAGGACAATGCTAATTATAAAGTTTGATTACTCCGTTTGGTCTTTTTCTTCTTCTTCTTTTTTGTATTCTCTTCTTATCATCATTACCACCACCATCACCATTGTTTGGTAAGCAGGGTAGGAGGGAGAGTCTTGTTTTAATTTTAGACAAAAATAAAATAACAATATAAAATGTTTAAATTTGTTTAATAGCTCAACGTTTCGCCCCGTGGGCTTCCTCAGGAGCAACTGAGAGAAAAACTAAATGAACGCTGTATACTATCATCATCATCATCATCATCATCATCATCATCATCATCATCATCATCATCATTGTGTACAGCAGATAGTATAACGGTTAAGACCTGGTAGTATTTCCAAAATATTTAATCACAAGCTCAACGTTTCGCCCTCAACAGGCTTCATCTGAAACATTCAAAATATAAATGACTAGATCTACACTAGCTGTAAAAACCAAAGTGCGTACATTTATGTCATCATCATCATCATCATCATCATCATCATCATCATCATCATCATCATCATCGTTGTTGGTGGTGGTGGCGGGGTTGTTGTCGTTAAAGGAGGAGGAGATAAAGGAAGAAATAGGAGGAATAGGATGAATAGGGAAGAGAAGAGGAGGAGCACCACGAAGTCGTTGACGATAATGACAACGACAAGACCTACACCGACAATGACTAGAAGATAAAGAAGAGACGATAACAAATAAAGAAACTACAATAACTATAATATTAAACGATACTTTTTCTTTCACCATTAGACCATGCTCATGGCGTCCGCCTGGAAGGAGCTTTTCCTCTTGGGCGTGGTCCAGTGGGGGCTACCCGTTGACCACCTGTCGCAGATGACGCAGAGGGATGACGCAAGCACTTCCGCCGTGGACCTGGAGGAGTGCGAGACCTTGACGGATCTGATCAACAGACTCCGGGAGATGTCTCTGGACCCCACAGAGATGACGTGTGTGAAGGCTGTCGCGTTGTTCAAACCAGGTAGGTTTCACTGTTAGATTAGTTGACATGATTATGTTGGTTTTTGGTCCTCACGACCCTGGTTCGGGTCATTTAAAAAAAGTTAGGTGCTTCTTACGCCCCCATCGACATTATTTAGATCATCTTGTTCATTCAGTTGCTGCCATGCATGATTGAGGAGAAACAGCAGTTTCAATTAGAGATCTATGAACAGTGAACGAATATCCACCTGTTTGGCTCAGTCTTGGTGAACATGGACGTATAATTGGATGTCTAACTCTCCTATAGCCATTCAAAGTTGAAAAAGCCTATAAAGTCAATCGTATGTTATACAGTTCTCTGAATATTTGTTATTGAACTCAGTACGGAAGGCAACTTGTTGACTCATTTGGAAGGGGGTCTGGAAACAAAGTTTCTATTTCATAGCTCTACTAGAATCAGTATTAGAACTTTTTTTTCCTCACCCAGGCACAATGACTTTTTTTGTAACTATCTTCTTTCCCTAGCCCAACTATAACGAGTTTAAACTGTTTCCTTTTTCTATCTCCCTTGAAATAATTCATATGAAAAACATTTCCCTTTCTTAGCTCCATTGGAATAGGAACTTCTAAAAAAAAACTATTTTCTCCTCTCTCCTCCTCAGACGTGGCCAGTTTATCAGACAGACGACAAGTCCAGAGCATCCAAGACCAGGCCCAGCTCATGCTCAACAAGCACATCCAGCTGAGCTACCCTCGTCAGATGATCAGGTTCGGTCGTCTGCTCATGCTCCTCTCCAAGATGCAGACGATCAGCGCCGGCACCGTCGAGAGGCTCTTCTTCCGGGGTCTACTGGCTACGTCATCGATCGAGAAGTTGATCGGGAACATTCTGCACGGAGAGTTCTTGTGACGTGAGCGACACGTCGGTCGCGCTTCTTGGTATAGATCTATGAGAAAACCACAACAATACTAATAACGATAATGGCGATAATGATAATAATAATGACAATAACAATATAACAATTACAATAGGCTACTAACATTATTAATACCAATAATAACAATTAATAATGATACCAATAATAACAATTAACATAGTAATAATAATAGTGATAATGATAATAATAACGATGCTGATGATGATAATGGTGATAATGATAATAATGATGGTGATGAAAAGAAGAAGAAGAAGAAGAAGAAGAAGAAGAAGAAGAAGAAGAAGAAGAAGAAGAAGAAGAAGAAGAAGAAGAAGAAGAAGAAGAAGA